GGCAATCTTCGATCCATATATTTCAGCACCAATTTTTAATCTTCTAAACTAGGAAATAGCTTGTTCTATTGCTATTGGCTCAGTTACATAAAGATCACCATAAAGCTCTTCAGATAGTGTAGAATAATAATTTATTAAATTTTGATAAAATTCATCGGGAGTATATACATTCTCATTTATCATTCCGATTATCTCACCCAGATATTTTTCTGTACCAGTGATTACATTAACATTAGTAATTTTATCCGCCATCTTCAGATAATCTACCAAATCCTCACACTCAAAGTTTTCAGTCATTTTTAAGCTTCCACGCACTTTTTTATCTAAAAGAGAAAGAGCTTGATCTAATAATAATTTAGCCTCACCCATATCAACAGAATTTATTCTAAATTCTACTTGCGCATTTTTCATTAGAATGCGCATAAGTTCAGGTTCAATAGACCGATTACTTGTGGGGTAGGTTCCTAATAGGCCATTCATCCGCTCAAAAGAATAGCACCAATAAGCATATAGTGGACCATAATCCAGACAACATTGTCTTATGTGAAGAGACAAGTGAATATTTGATGTTATCATATGTTGACCATAATGTTCCTCAATTAACTTTGCCATGTTTATTAGCCTAGTATGTGCTTCGTCTAGATCTCTTTGCTTGACTATTCAGTTTATTAATGAATTACATGCACAGACAAAATTAAAAATTATTTCTTTATCTTCAAGCTCTAGCATATCCCACATACATAGAATAGCATATACTTGATAAAATACCCTCCACTGATCTGCTGTAAATCGATTAAATCCTTCTGATCCACGTGCGACTTTTGATGGAATACGTCTGATTTCTGATGAAACCTTTACATTTGATATACGCTTTTCGATTATTATAAGTTGGTCTCTACTAAGTTTATTATTATTTAATAAACATTGCTTCATTATCCACTTGCCGATACCTAAGAATAGGCAATGCATTGGATCGACTACCATAAATTTAACTGGATCAAAATATTTCAGCCGATATAGTTCTGACCATCTTATTCTGGTTCTTTTCACATGATCATCTCGTTCTTTTTTATTTTTACAAGATAACCATTCATTCGCTGCTTTAAAATTTTGTGATATATCTATTGGCTTAAACCATTCATCCATATTTTCAAAACCACTATAATGATTTCTTTTGGTTTCACAGTCATATTTTGCACGCTTTGGGCAACGATGACATTTTATTGCATGACTTGCATGACCGCAAATTTTTCTTGCAGCAGGAACATCATTAGCCGATAATATTAATGCTACATAAATCCTTCGTCCTTCTTTATATTCAAAAGTTGCTGGTAGTTTTATACCTGAGGATAGTTCAATTAACTCATCGACAATTGGTGCTAGGTAATTGTTTATTTGATGCTTACTAGGTTCATTTGGTCCTGGAATGATACCCAATGTTAAAATATTGTTCGGCTTAAATCATGCTTCACGTGGCAAATTACATAAAACTCCATAAATTACTCCAGTACTATGTACTATATAATTGAATAGTTAAAACCAATCGATATTAATAGCTAGACCAATATTTGTATCCAATCTGTCTTTTGTAAAAAATAGACTCAGATTATCTGGATTTATAGCAAAGTTTTTCCAGATATTTCCCTCATATATATCTGAAAAATTCCCGCTGAGACATTTCTATTACTTGAATGCCTTAACATTTTCTCAAAGCCTTCTTGCTGATACATCATATAAAGTTGTTGTTTTATGCTTCCAATCGGATAAATTTTTAATGGTCGTAATAAAGTACCATCTCTTATATTTATTAATTCTGCTAATGGCTCATTACATACCAATCGTTGTATTTTTGATCTATGATTTGGATATTCTACATGAACACACAT